GCCCACCATCTCTGGAGTTAGGTTGGAGTCAATTCCACCCAAAGCATGTGGCTGCTACCCAAGAGAGGAGAAAAAATATTCCAAAGGAAAGTCTGAGACTATTAAGAATTGGCAAGAGTTGCATGGCTTTTGGGTAGGCAACTAACACGTACTGACAATGTAATTTCTATTTTCAATATGACTCAATGAAAACCTGATGAATATTACATATGCTAGAAATCATCCTTCTCCAGACCTTCCTTCTAGTTATTTTTCTCTAAATTCACCCTTATTCTTTAAATGAAAGTTTACTGATCACAAATTCTCCTTTTAAAAAAAACAAAACTAAATATGTCTTTATTTTGCCTTTGTTCTTGAAAGATAATTTCACTGGGCACTCATTCTAGATTGACAGTTATTGTCACTTAGCACCTTGAAGATGTTATTCTACTGTCTTTTGGCTTCAATTTTTGGCACTGAAAATTCGGCTGTCAGAATCTGTCCTTCCTCTGCATGTGGATATTTAGTTATTCTGGCTGCTTTTAAGATCTCTTTGTCTTTGTTGTTCTTCAGTTTCCTTTTACTCATCTTGCTTGATATACATATTATTTCTTGTATATGTGGATTCATGTTTCTGATTAGTTCTGGAAATTTTTCAGCAATCATCTATCTCTTCCATTTTTTTCTATTCTCCATCTTTGGGACTCTGATTAGACACATATTAGATCTTCTCATTCAATCCTTCAGGTCTCATCACCTGTCATTCATATTTTCTATCTCCTTATCTGTCCTTACTACAGTATGTCTTATTTTCTCAGTTAATTAACTACTCATGAAAGCTGTTCATGATTAGGTCTTCAGATATGCAAGTTACTAAAAGCTTGTATCTTACTCCTGGGCTAAATCTCTAGTTTCTAGAGATGTAAATTTGGTTTCTTTGATCCTGGTTTGACTTTAGCATTTCAGATGTACCATTTAACAGTTGATATGAAACTTCCAGAAGGCACTCACTAGCAACTGAAACTAGTATCAGTAAACCTTTGTTGAGGGTAAACAACTGCATTTCTAAGTTTCTACCAATGCTAAGAGATTTTGGAGTTAGTAACTACTGTCTAACGGTACTTACAGTAAACACTTAAAAATTTGTACTTTGGGTTTGCCAAAGTGGGAATTAATGTCCTTTCAAGTATATTTAAAGACTCAGTTCAGTTCTAGCAGACTCCCTCTAAAACAAGTAAGGGTGTTATGCATGTAACGACTGCACAGGAAATCTGGTTTTGCCTTCCACCACTTACATTTTAAGCAGGAATGCCATCACTACACAAAACCTACAAGAATCCCACTCTGAGTAATTAAATGACCAACCTCTTAAAAACCTGCCAGAAGCAACAGGGTCTATAAAAACCTATTTAGTGTGTCATTTAGTTCTACTTCTGCTTTTAAAATTAGAATTATTTGGAGAAAAATAAGTTTTCCTAATATTCATGATTTTCATGTTAACCAAAGGATTGCGAAAACAAAGGATTAAAATTGACCAATTGAAACAGTATTTAAATTATAAGAAAATGGGTTAATGTGAGCCATTGAGGGTGTTCTTTATTCCATTTTGATACCACAGAAAAAAATAATAAAAATGGCCAAGGGATAGGGCAGGGTTAAATTAAAAATGTTTTAAGGGACATTTTACTAGGAGCATGCATAATGCATTGGCTTTGAGTACATTCTGAAGAAACATGGATTCCAAAATTCCCTTAGCTCTTTCCTCTTTCCAGTGCTCTTCCCTCTATTGGGAGTAATAATTTTGCAAAAGTCCTATAAATGTCAGTCCTATCAGGACGCCCTAGCTCTGAATCCAGATGCTGCCACCAAAAGATGGAAAGTTGTTTCCTGGAGACAATACATACAGATCAACTTTCAAATTAGTAGCTACTTTTTAGAAAACTATCACTTTTCTAGTAGTCTGTTAACTGAGAAAAGAGAATGAAATTCACTTACTTGGTAATGAGGTAATAGGATAAACAGGAAGCCAGTCCTTAAGAATGAGCAGTCCCCAGGTGTAGGTGGATTCATCCTCATTCAGTTTTTCCCTTACCTCCTTCCTCTCCCACCCACCATTTTCCTCCTAACATCAAGTGTTTTTTACATGCTTAATATCAAAATGTAAGCTCCTTGAGGGCAGGGACCACATTCTTTTGGTTCACTCTAATACCCTCTGTGCCCGGGCATGTGGCAGCCTGGCACAAAATAAATGCCAAATTAAGTACACAAATATTTACTGGGCAACTAGGGAAGGACAGAGGGAGGAAACAGCTAGGTGCTGGGGTCCCAGAGTATATATGATACAGAGACTTTGTTCTGGTTGGGAAAATGGGCTTGTTTACCATTTAAAATCAGTGTTATTTTTTTTCCCCACCAAAGAGCCCCTAATGGAAGAAAATTCTGTGAGGCTTTCTGCTTCACCTTGTTTGTGCTCTTTCCATCTATCAGCGTTTCACCATTGTGATGCGCTGTCTGCTGTCACCTCAACATCACTGTCCCCTCCTTCTGTAGTGTCCTTTGCACTGCAGGGGAGCCAGAAACTACATTTTCCAGAACCTCCTTTGCTTTCTGGTTCTAAGTCAGTGTGGCCCAAAGAGAAGCATTTCCAGGGGATGGAGGAGGCAGAGAAGGGAGAGGCCACCCTCCCTTGGAGGCCATCCAGGCAGAAGTGTGCACAGGCCCGCAGACACGGGCATCGCAGCAGCTTCCAAGATCTCTCACAGGTCACCCGCTTTGGTGTTGTCAACAGCCTAGACAGCTGGTGACAGTTCCTTGAGGCTCACTGCGTCGGTGCTGCAGGCTGAGGTGACAGGAGCTTCCTGGATGCTTCCAGATTCTCACGGGCTCCTGGGCCAGCTCCCGAGATCCGCCCAGGGCGGTACTGCAGATGCACCTTCCCTCGCCTGCCCTTCTGACGCTCGGTGGAAGCTTCTGACTCCCCACATTGAAACCCTTTATGCTTACATCATCAGGTGGCTGTTTTCCTGACTGAACCCAAATAGAAAGGTTAAAATACGTGAATTTAGCATTAAGAGAAAAACAGGTTTCCTACATGTCTTAACTTAGTGAAAGAGATAATGCTTCACTGAGTCTACTGACTTTGTTAAACGCAGATGAAATGAAGAAAGATGAACCTGCAGGTTTACATCAGGCAATTTCTTTATTTCCTGTGTGACAGTATTTTGAGGACACAGATTCCTAAAAAAGTGGGGGAAATGGTTTTCTCTTCACTGATTGATGAACTATGTCTGGACAGTCGTTAAGCAGAAATGTGATGCATTCTGTCAAGGAAGTGGTCCAGTGTAACACTTTCAGGCTCCTGTGGGTGCCAATCTTGCTGTATTTTCTTGCTGCGAAATACAAGGTCAAGCTGCTCAAATCTTATGGTGTACCAAAGAGGTCTGGGAACCAGAGGTCAGTTTTTTGTTTTCCTAAGTGAATTATGAAAATACGCAATTTTTTTTTTCCAGGAAAGGATGCCTAATGATGTTCTTTCCCACTAATGAGAAATTTTCATCATATTTAAATGAACTAAAAATGTCATTTAACTCATAACTTACCCAAACAACTCTCATCTCCTTCTGAAATTTAATTTTTATTGTAGTAACCTGATCATGTGTAAAAAATAGTTTTGCTTTTCAAAAAATAAATGCTGAATAAGTTACCCTTGTGAATTGCTCTTCATTATAAAGGCGGACAATGACTTTTTTTCCTTTATATAGCTTTTTTTATTGTGACATTCCTTTTTCTACACGAAGAAACAAATGAAAATCACACCAACTAGAGAAACTACTCTGCATTTTCCTTGCTCAAACCACAGATTAATTTTTGTGGAACAAATTTTCAAAAGTCATTTGTCATTATAAATTTGTCTAGATAGGTAGTCAAAACATAATTTTTTGTGTGCAAGATTTTACTTTTTTTTTTCGGTACGCGGGCCTCTCACTGTTGTGGCCTCTCCCGCTGTGGAGCACAGGCTCCGGACGCGCAGGCTCAGCGGCCATGGCTCACGGGCCCAGCCGCTCCGCGGCATGTGGGATCTTCCCGGACCGGGGCACGAACCCGTGTCCCCTGCATCGGCACGCGGACTCTCAACCACTGCGCCACCAGGGAAGCCCGATTTTACTATCTTTTAACAAAAGCAGTGAAGACCCTGAAGAAGGACCCAGTGGCAACGTCTTCCAGGTGCAGTGTTCTCAGTGAGCGACACAGGTACAGCTGCCGGGCACCCAGTGTACTCAGTGGGCCTGACTCCAGAGGCTGCCTCCATGGTTTGCTGTCTCAGATCAAGCTCCATCTGTGTCCATATCTGTATTTTTTTAGGGTTGATCCCATGCCTAGTAAAACAAGCTGCATTATGTTGAAACGGCACCACTTATTTTTCTACCACTAATCACTGTGCAAAACCAGAACATTTTCTTAATATTTAATGGCCAGTACAACAGCCTAACCCTTCATGTCACACTGTCATTCAGTTTAAGCAAAGAGGCTGGTTAATCTCAGTCTGCGTTGTTCAAGTATGTCTTCAGAACACACTAAAATGAACAGTATGTGTCACTTGATAAGGAAAGTTCTTCAGTTTGAGACTCAGTTCAACTCAAACAGATTCAGATATGTTGACAGTCATGAAAGTAAGCATCACTCTTTCAAAGAGATTCTAAAACTCACCTAAAGAAAAACTTTGTTAAGAACTTAAAAAAAATTGGCTACTGTATTGTTTTTCATTTTATTTTTTCTAATCAAGACTACTCTTTTGTGGAAAAAATTGAGTTTTGATGACAAGCAAAGCAGCTTCTACCTATTAGCGGCAAAACCTTTTAAGATTGCCAAAATAAAAACTTTTGAGTACGCCAGTACTCCAGCAAGATGCAGAATGGTGGCCATGTGGTTACATCTCCTCTGTTGAGACTGCAGTGGCAAAAGTGTGAGGTAAGTATCAAGTCCCACGGAAGCAGAGTTCTCCTGAAATAAAACTATCCAGGCACTTTTTAAAATCATCTTTATTTTGGTTGCAAAGATACAATTTACTTAGTTACTTAATATTTTATTTGTTCCCATTTGAAGTCTCATAGCTTGCCAGGTAAAACATTGCCTTCACTATCAAACTGCTATATAAGAACATTATAAAATACAAACTATAAACTAAGATAATCTTCTTTACAGTATTCAGATTAGTGCATTAAAACAACATTGATTAAAAAAGGCAAGTGAGTTAAGTGGCGAACATCCAATTCCCTTTCTAATGAAGGATGGTACAAAATGGTATGAAGGGAAACAGAATTTTAAGTGTTAGGTGCTCAAAAAGAGTAACTGTGGGAAAGTTACTTCCCAAAAGTAATCTTTATTATTCTACAGGACATAAGAGAAGGTAATTAATTTTCCATCATAACAGCTGTGGAAATACACAGCCGAATACAAGTTGGGATCTTTAGAATTCTAACACAATAGGTATTGATCTGTCATACTCTTCCTCCAAATCACATTAAACATTTATAGTGACCACACAATCCCCTGCAAACGAACGTAAGACTTAAACAGAACCCATATAAAAACAGTCTATCCTTAGTATTTTACTAGCCAATCTACAGCAAATGCTTACTATATACACATCAGGAGTAAGAGATATACTAGGAAGTTATTCACTGATTTCATTCAGAATAAACAAGGGTCTTAAGAGAAAAATAACAGTAAAAGTTAAATAGACAATTTGTGTTGCTGTGAACTAGATAAAAACAAAACTCCAAACACAAACATATATGTGAATTTTTAAAGTTATTGACAATACTTCCTCTGCTGGCCCAAATCAAAATTAAATTTAAGATTTGTAATTGAAGTAACACAAACGTGGGTGCATGTTACACTGTGACAGAGAGGTGCACACAGAACACACACACACCTTTGAATTTACTAATTCCAAAAACTAAGTCAACAGGATAAATAAATTATAAACGAAAGGCATATACAATGTGGGCAAAAAACTAACAGTTACTAGGTCGAAAAGCATGAAGCTATGCCAGCAGTGATATTTAAAAAAACTTTCAGTATTAGAAAATATCAGATTTAATCCAAAGAAAATTTCCCCCCAAATAAAAATAACAAAAGTATGGGAACCATCCTTTAAGCAACAGCTTTAAAATAACAATTAAAAAAACCTACCATGATTAAAGGAATCTTCCTACATAATTTACATAATGTAGTGCAATATTGTGCTCCTTTATAATCTTAGCCTTTCACTCCCCATATGATGAGACCGATAATTACAACTCCGATAACAAGGATAAAAATGATGATGCACAGGGTTTTCCTGGATTTGCGCTGCAGATGCGAAAAAACAAAAACACGTTTACAGATGTAGTGGAGCACCTCTATAGCAAGTGAAGATCATTTGGTTCATTTCTAGAGTAAAATCAACAGTAATTTATTGCCCTCATTTTGGGCTATATTTTTTTGCTTTTCAATACATATAGCCCTATGCTTTCAAAAAATATTCTTCTTGAATTAATGGTATAATTCAGGGGGTACTTATTCAACTTCTGTTGGTACTTTTTCTAGATGTGTGGTTGGGCTTAATTTAAAAACGATACAGAGAAATAAAAATTAATAACTTGAGCGACAGAGTTTACCTATGTGTGAAAACAAAAAACAGCTTAAAGGAAGATAAAAAAAGCAGAAGGTAAAATATATTGGTCTTTGAAAGCAGAATTTTCCAACAAGAGGAGAACTTAGAACTCATCTCTTTCAATTTCGTCACGAAAGGCAGGAAGAATATTTAATTACCCTAATGGTTTACCCTAATTTATTTATCAGCAAAATTAGCTCCCCAGCCCAAGCTGAGTTAGTACAGGTCTGGAACAGATTCATCTGCTTTCACCAGTCCTTTAAGGAAAGAGGGTGGATGGGGAGAGGTTTTGGTTGTACGTGTTCCTGCTGGCCTGATGCCTGGTTCCTAGGCATCAGGCCAGGTCAGAGGCCTTCTAGGAGGCTCCTGGGGTAGGCAGGGCCACATGGTTGGGGATTTAGGGGCTGGCCTCACTAAAAGCTGACGAAAGGTAGAATATATGAGTCCCTTCTTTAAAGTGGCAAGAAAACTTCCCTTCTCATCCAGACACCTACTCTCTATTCCCTTTATCCAAACCTCATAGAATTTTAACCAGGAGAAACTTCAGACAGTAGTTTGTCTCTTCCTTTTATAATAAGGAAATGGAGAAAGAGAAAGGGAAAATATCTTGCCCCATGGTCATACTGCTAGTGATTATCAAAAAGAGGATGGTTCCTTTCCACTGATGACTTGTCTACTGATCACACCGTGCTTGGGCTGTGAGCTACTTTTTTTTTTTAAACATCTTTATTGGGGTATAATTGCTTTACAATGGTGTGTTAGTTTCTGCTTTATAACAAAGTGAATCAGTTATACATATACATATGTTCCCATATCTCTTCCCTCTTGCGTCTCTCTCCCTCCCACACTCCCTATCCCACCCCTCTAGGTGGTCACAAAGCACCGAGCTGATCTCCCTGTGCTATGCGGCTGCTTCCCACTAGCTATCTACCTTATGTTTGGTAGTGTATATATGTCCATGCCTCTCTCTCGCTTTGTCACAGCTCACCCTTCCCCCTCCCCATATCCTCAAGTCCGTTCTCTAGTAGGTCTGTGTCTTTATTCCTGTCTTACCCCTAGGTTCTTCATGACATTTTTTTTTCTTAAATTCCATACATATGTGTTAGCATACGGTATTTGTCTTTCTCTTTCTGACTTACTTCCCTCTGTATGACAGACTCTAGGTCTATCCATCTCATTACAAATAGCTCAATTTTGCTTCTTTTTATGGCTGAGTAATATTCCATTGTATATATGTGCCACATCTTCTTTATCCATTCATCTGATGATGGGCACTTAGGTTGTTTCCATCTCCAGGCTATTGTAAATAGGGCTCCAATGAACATTGTGGTACATGACTCTTTTTGAATTATGGTTTTCTCTGGGTATGTGCCCAGTAGTGGGATTGCTGGGTCGTATGGTAGTTCTATTTGTAGTTTTTTAAGGAACCTCCATACTGTTCTCCACAGTGGCTGTACCAACTCACATTCCCACCAGCAGTGCAGGAGTGTTCCCTTTTCTCCACACCCTCTCCAGCATTTATTGTTTCTAGATTTTTTGATGATAGCCATTCTGACAGGTGTGAGATGATATCTCATTGTAGTTTTGATTTGCATTTCTCTAATGATTAATGATGTTGAGCATTCTTTCATGTGTTTGTTGGCAGTCTGTATATCTTCTTTGGAGAAATGTCTATTTAGGTCTTCTGCCCATTTTTGGATTGGGTTGTTTGTTTTTTTGTTATTGAGCTGCATGAGCTGCTTGTAAATTTTGGAAATTAATCCTTTGTCAGTTGCTTCATTTGCAAATATTTTCTCCCATTCTGAGGGTTGTCTTTTGGTCTTGTTTATGGTTTCCTTTGCTGTGCAAAAGCTTTGAAGTTTCATTAGGTCCCATTTGTTTACTTTTGTTTTTATTTCCATTTCTCTAGGAGGTGGGTCAAAAAGGATCTTGCTGTGATTTATGTCATACAGTGTTCTGCCTATGTTTTCCTCTAAGAGTTTGATAGTTTCTGGCCTTATATTTAGGTCTTTAATCCATTTTGAGCTTATTTTTGTGTATGGTGTTAGGGAGTGATCTAATCTCATACTTTTACATGTACCTGTCCAGTTTTCCCAGCACCACTTATTGAAGAGGCTGTCCTTTCTCCACTGTACATTCCTCCTGCCTCCTTTATCAAAGATAAGGTGACCATATGTGCGTGGGTTTATCTCTGGGCTTTCTATCCTGTTCCATTGATCTATCTTTCTGTTTTTGTGCCAGTACCATACTGTCTTGATTACTGTAGCTTTGTAGTATAGTCTGAAGTCAGGAGCCTGACTCCTCCAGCTCCATTTTTCGTTCTCAAGATTGCTTTGGCTATTCGGGGTCTTTTGTGTTTCCATATAAATTGTGAAATTTTTTGTTCTAGTTCTGTGAAAAACGGTTGGCAATATTTCTTAAAGTAGACTTATTAATTTCCCAAATCATTCCCATCCTTGAATATGAATGGAAACTGCATTCAAAATCTCTCAACATTCAAATAAACTATAAAACACAAAGAGCTAAATAAAATTCTAATACTGTCATTTAAAATATAAACGTTAAGAGTTTTGCTCCATTATTCATTCCTGGCCCAGCTGTAGCTTTCTATATTTCTCCAATGGCTTGTATATCTCACAGCTACATGCAGGAATCCTTTTTCTTACAAAATAGAAAAATTTGTAATTTACTTTGTGTCAACCAGAAGTAGCATAAAATTTACAAAAAGAATATGTTCCTGACTCTGAAATTATCCTGAAAACTACTTATACTTTTCAGTATTCCACATGGCCATCTAATTTTTCAACAGAATATACTCTGCATATATTAAACACAGTTCAAGTTTCAATCTCATCATGCCCATGTATTTTCCCCAGATTCCACCTGGTTACCGCAGACCCATGTGTAACGTGCCTTCATCAACAATGAGAGATGTTCCCCTAGAGTATCTTTTTTCCTGGGGCACCCTCTCCAGCGTGCGGTGGTGAGGTCCTGTGGTGCCATGGTGATGAAAGCATTTTCCACCTTCCTTTATGTTCATGGTCCACCCAAACTATTTAGAAGCACTGCACCGTATTTTGCAGAGGCATAAGTTTAATATCAAGGCTGCCAAGTGGGACTATTGGGAAGCTGCTCTCTTTCCAGCCCTTGTGTTGCATGGCTCTTTCCTCATCCCTCCAGGGCCAGGGATTAAGGATGGGGGCAGCTCTTGCTCTGGAGGTACAACTTGGGAAGATGTGTTCCTTTTCCCCAGGGTGGCTATAGGCCTTCCCTTCCACAAGGAAGAGTAAAAGTAAAACTTGGGGATATATCTATATCCCCCTGGAGTCCAAAAGGAAAACGAAATTACATGGAATCCCAGTCACTGATGAATCCTGCTAAACACTCTGAGCAGCTATAACTGTTGGTATTTACAGATTACTCTGTGTGTGTGTGTGTGTGTTCAACTATTCATGAATGACACCTACATTCTAGGACATGGTGACATTAGCTATCCTGAGCTGCATATCTGAATCTCATGCACAAAGACAGTAAACATGAGTTACTCTGTCGGTGAGCACAATTGGTTGTATAACTCAGCATCCTCTATATGCACTGATTTGTCCAGTGAAAAAAATGGCATTGAAACTAAAGGGAACTTCTAAGATCAGTGAGAAAAGTGAAAAGCAATTAAAAAATACCTAGGATGGTGATAATATCTTAGAAATTTTATAAGAAGGTAATAAGTTTCTGAGAAAATAATTATGAACAACTACATCAACAAAAAAAAATGAAGTTTTAAAAGGGAAATCAAATGCTAGGGTGGTATTTAGGGGTTCCCAAAGAGCCTGGGCTTATCTTTGTTAAACGTCAAAGATCTACATATTAAGTGATATATTAATAGTTCATGGTGCTAATATTTGTAATCCTTTATATATACTTATATTTGACTCATACCTATGGATTCCCTATACTAACCTGATTCACTTAAGAAATCAGTTCACTCCTGGTGAAGAGTCTGCTGAATGCTGACAGAATACCCACTGGTCAAGGACACTCACTCTAAGGTAACATAATTTCCACAGGACCTGAAGAGATCTTTCTGGGACAAGGATCTTTGCCTCTTTAGTCCATAGTATCATTGACAAAAAAGAAACGTAGAAGGGAACAGCAAGAAACAGAAGGAAATCGCTATCAAAGAGGTTTCTGGGTTGAAATGTCAAAATGACATCGGAGACCAAAAGTTGTCAGAAAAGACTGGAGTTGTGTACTGCTCCCCTCAAGACTCTAAACTTCCCATCCCTGTGGGCACAACACTGGTTCAAACCTGAGAACAGACAGGCTACATACACGCAGTTTGAACTGACTGGCATATTTCTAGCCTGTCTTCCATGGCATTTTGAATTTTAACATCTCCAGCCACTTTAAACCTGATTTTACACACACGCACACACACACACACACACGTTTAAAAGTCTGAGTTATAAGACAATTTAGCACAGTTAATATTACCTGATAGTCTGCCGCCCTTGACAGCTGCTGGTTTGCTTGCTGGACGTGCACCTCAGCATTTTCCACATTGGCTTCTATGCTATCTTTAAAATAAAACACACACACAAAGCGGGTGCTGATGCTCTAGTAACAGAGCTGTATCAATCACCAGATTTTATTCAAGGTAAGATTAAACATGTTCACTATTCAAAGGTTAATATTAATAGTGTATGGGTAAGGCTGAATTTTTTTTTTTTAGTGATACTACTTCTCAGGTGATCTAAACAATACTGAAGAATTTCAAGGAAAGAAACTTGATTATCTTCATTATAGTGCACTCCAGTTCTACCTGGTAACACCCAAAAGTACCGTCACCAGTACCTGCATTCTGTGATGGCCAACTCAGCAGCAAGCAAGGCATCTGAACTTTGGTTTAGGGTAAATACAGAGAACTGAAAACCGTCATCTGCTGGGCGGCCCTCATCAACCTCCTTCTGTGCTGAAACCTAGGCTCCCTGAGGGTCCTCAGAGCCTTCTCAACTGGTGACAACTTCCTCCCCCCCTCCTCTGACCTGGGGGTGGAACAGGTGTCAGTCTGTAGGATGGGTGACCACTGTTTCCTCCTCCTCCCTGCCGACTTTCAGTTTTAGAGCTAATGCTGTCCAACTCATTCAACCCTCCTTGCTGCAGACATCCACAGATGTCTTTTCTTCTCATTCTTTGAATATTTTAGCCCCTGAGTCACTGATGTTCTTTTCAATGCTTCTACTATCCTACATATCAGTGATTTCCATATCCAATTGCTCACCCTCTAGTACCCAGGCCTCTCAATTCTTTGAACACATGTTTTTCAAAGACTTTGCCTGTGGCGCTTTCTGAGCCACCCACATCCGTGGTCACACCCCAAACCTGTCATTACCAATAACTGCAGCTTCTCTATCATCTCCGTTTCAGGTGTCACTCTCTGATTACCATCTGCTACCTTTAGAGTTCTCGCCTTCTAAGACCCCAGCTTTAGTGATCCTACCACTTTTTCACTGCCCCTCACATACTTCATGTCCTCACTTTCCTCTTCCCTAGCCTAGACTCCATATACACAATCATCTGTCACTGGTTTCTTGCATTTATCCTCAGCCCTCTTCCCTCCTACTGTGGTCACAGTTAGGTGACAAAACCCCAACCTGTCCCATGCAGCTGAAAATGGGTGCAAAAAAGAATCGCCGTGATGACTTATTTCACTTTAAATTCTTGACTGCACAGCACGCCTGCCTCGTCTCCCCAATTCCTGGAACACTAAGTCACACTTCCTCCTCTCTCCCCTAACTTCTCATGCCTCGTCACGCATTGTCATTCTCCACCAGTGACCTTATTTCTAGATCACTGAGACAATAGGAACAACCAGAAGACACTTCCACAATCTCCTTTGACCCTACCCACCACCACATGCAACAGTCTCTGTGCTCGGACTTCTCTCCCGTGGTTAGGGAGGACCTGTCCACGCTCAGAGAGAGCCAACCTCCCCACGCGTGTACTTTATCCCATTCCTTGTTGCCTAGCTCAAAGACCTCAGGCCAGCAATTTCCTCCCTCTCACTATCAACACTTCTTTCCCATCAATCCTATTGCTGCCATCTTAAAAACACACAAACAAACCCCCAACCCCCTCATTTATGCCACACCCACTGGCAGCTATGACCTCATTTGACTCCTAGAAAGACTTGTCTCCACTTGCTATCTCCAGTCACTCTCCTCCCAGTGTCTTTTGAGCCTACTTTATCATGCTTTCACCTGCACTATTTCACCAGCACAGCTCTCATCTGAGGTCACCTATGCCCTACACATTGTTAAATTCAGCAATCAATTCTAAAGCCTCAGTTTACCTAACCGAATAGCAGCATTTGAGAGAGCTGACCTGCCATCGCTCTTGGAACGTTTTCTCCCCTCCATTCTAAAACTATACATTCACGTGGTTTTCTTCTGTATCACTAGCTATTCTTTCTTGGTCATTTTTGTTCGTTCCTCCTCGGCTCTCTAGGCTCTCAATCAGGGATCAACAAACTTTCTTTGTCTCAGATAATAAATACTTTAAGCTCTACAGTTCATTCATATGGTTTCCGTCATAAATACTCAACTATGCCTCTGTTGTACAAAACCTGTTGTAGATAACGCATAAACGAATGGATGTAGTTTGCCGACCACACCCTAAATATTTACAAGTCCTCAGACACCCCTCTTCTCTATCTGCACTTATCTCCTAGGTGATCTCACCTAATCTCATGGCTTTAAATACCATCTATGTACAGATAACGCCCAGATTTATACCCCCAGGCCAGACATCTCCCCTTTACCCCATCTTCTCTGTACCAATGTCTATCAAACCTTTACCTGGGTGACACCTGGTCCCTGAATCGTAACAGATCCAAAAATCACTGATTTATAGCCATCCAAACCAGCTCCAGTGACAGATTTCCGCATCTCAGAAAACGGCACCGCCATGATTTTCGTGAGCCAGGCCAAAACCTTACAGTCATCCTTGAACTTACTCTCTCACATCCATATCCAGAGTCAGTAGATCTTTTTGGCTCTACATTTAAAAAATATCCAGAATCCCACTGCTTCTCACCACTTCACTGCTTCCGTACTGATCCAAGACAACACAGCTGCTCATGTGGATTCCTGCAATAGGCTTTTAAGTGCTTTGTTTTTGGTCTTGACCCTTTGCAGTCTGCTCACCTAAGTCAAATGATAACGCTCCTCTGCTCAAATCCTCCTGTGGCTTCCCCTCCATTAATACAAAAACAGTCCTCACGATGGCTCAGGGGCCTGTGTGATCTGGTCTCCTGTGACTTCTGACATCGTCTCCATCCTCCTCTTGCTCACTCCATTGGCCCAAGATGTCAGGCGTGCTTCTGCCTGAAGGCCTTTGCACCTGCGGTTCCCTCTGCCTGCAACACGTTCTCTTGCCTGCTCCCTTACTTCCGTGAAGTCTTCACTAAAATGTCACCTATCAGTGAGGCCTTACCTGACTCCCCCAGAAAAGCAGCACATTCCCCCCACCTCCTGCAGTCCTACCCCCGACCTGGCCTTATCTTCCCCGTAACACTTATCACCATCTACTTACTTTTCTTTCTGTTTTAATTGTCTCTCTCTTCCAATTAGATTATAAGATCTTTTATCTGTTGTTTAATTTCAGCTGAATCCTCAAGGCCTAGATTTATGCCTGGATATAGCAGGCATTCAATAAATATTTACTGGATGAATGAATGGCTTTTGAAAATTTACCCTGTGATCTACTGGGGCTACAGAGGAGGGTAAGAATGGACAAATAATAATTATATTAAACTATAGGTCCAAGCATTTCAACTGAACCAAATTCAGAAAATGTATTAAATATATCTTTAGCATACCCACAGATATCTTCATATATCAAAATGATAAAGATGATCAGAATCCTGATCAATGTTGACAACTACACCTTAAATGAATTACAATTACATTTAAAACTTAAAGGAAGTCTTAGTCACTGATATTTTTTAAAGAATTTTTCAAAAAGAATTCTCAATATCTAAGTAATACAACTAAATTAATGTACTAAAAAAGCTATAAGAATTAATGTTCAGGCAAATGGCTTCTTATTCCCTCTACTTTAAAAGACAAGATAGTGCGCACAATTATGAACAGATGTTTTCCCCAAAGTCCTTGGTGTGATAAGAATTAAACTGGGATAAGACAGAAACCAGAGATCCTGGAAATAAGCTAGAATGATGTTAAATGTTACCTTCCATGATCTCAGCAGCGGTAGATCCTGATTAAATTTGGAACTTCTTAAATAAATTAAGCTGGTCATTTCCACCAGTAGGAGCCAAAAACGAGATCTGTTTTAGATAATGCCAAGGGTGATGCTTTGTTTATTACAGACACTATACTTTTGATTTCAGGAGGACCAAAAGAGAGGAAGGAGCTACCCTGGCTTGAGAAGTTACCACAGGTAAACTGCATGTAGCTTCCTTCTGCCTCATGAAATCTAATGAGTAGGGCTTACCTATTACATCTCCTTGCTCATGAATCATCATTCCCAAATCTTTAAATATTTCATTAATATCCATAATATCAGCCTAAGAGAAAAAAAATGCATATTATTGTAATCAGAAATTCAGTCCCCAATCCACAAAAGGAGAAAATTTTAAAAAACACAAACCACTGCTCATACCTAGGTGAGCATGCATCTGGACCTAATAACATATATTTGGGGAATATCAGAAAACTATTTTACTATAGGCAATCCCAAGTAAGTAGACTCTGAATCTCAGTTCTCTAAAATAAGTTTGTGATGTTAAAAATAGCAAGTGATTCAGAGTGGAAATGAAGGACTATACAATAGAGAAGGGTTGTGGGTTACTGAATTTATGTCATGCAATCTGATTAGTTTTCTTATCATGAATAGTATTTCCTCAAAAAAGTAAAAAATATTCTTATTGTATTTCTAGTAAAAATGTATATGTCAATTTGACACTTTAAAAGAATAAAACATTAGGTGTAAATTCAAAGCCTCACATTAGTAAATCTGAAAATGCAATGGAAGAGTGACGGATAAATAAGTTATAAATTTAATTTTCTTCAATATATAACTATTATTTTTCTTGATTAAAAAGTAAAGTTTAAACACTTTATTCAGGAAAGGTGGGGCAATTTACATATTCATCCTGTGCCTTAGTTTCCCCATCTGTAGAAGGGCAATGATAATGACACAGTTAATTACTTCACAGAGCTTTTATGAGAACTAAGTAAGACAATTAAAGAATTCATCACAGTGCTTGGTGCATGAAGCCCTCAATAAATGGTAGCTATTGTTAGCTATTATTAGCCCACTTTCTAGGGAACAGGTAGGTTCCCTAAGAACTAAGGCTACTAAACCTTTTAGACCTCTTTGATATCCTACACACACTAAAGAGAAATAAAACACTTTTAAAGCCCTTGGAAAAGTCTTATTCATGCAGGTGTGATGTGTATCATGTGCCATGGAAGCTATCTAGACTCTCTGAACAGACCTTTATCTCTAGACTGATAATTTTCTCAATGCTCAGGTGGCTTGAGATGACTTAACAGAATTAAAAAAAAAAAAAAAAAAGTTGGAGTAGAGGGAAGTATATTTTCTCATCCTTGCACAAATTCTAAAGAAATTACTTTTTTTTTTAACAGAATGACTCTAATTTATATGAAATATGCCATCAAATTGATGTATTTATTTAGTTTTCTTTCTTGACCTCTCTCCCAGCATCATCTAAGAGGACAAATTCACTAAGAACAGAGCAGCAATCCAATTCTGCAATGTAAAGCTTACTTCGAGTTGCCTAATAGAAGACTCTCTCTCCTGAATAAGGCGGAGGTCATCCTCTGTAATTTCTTCATCCTGCACCTGCACCTGAGGCTGAGTTTGGCTATTAAAAAGAAAAGAATATGTAAAATAAAAAAACCGGTATGAAAACAATGAGGCTTCCTTTTTATTTAAGAAATACTTATTGAATAGAATATTTTTTCTTCAAAGTCATAGAACTGCTCACTTAAATTCTAAAAATATAACAGAAATGTTAACCAAATTTTATTCATGTTTCATTTCAATGATGTTACGTTTAGAGTTATTATTTAATTATTGGAAACTATTATATTTGGCAAGTGAGTACTTCTTCTTGGTTGATTTAAACGTCACCTATGGGAATAATCTATATCAAATAATAATTAAGTCAATAATATTTATTTGGATAATTAAAGAGTATTATTGCTATACTGGAATATTTTTATATATTTTATAATAAATAATGACTTTGAAAATTTTTCAAACTTATTGTTTTCTATTTATAAATAACTTAGGATAGTCATGATATATACTGAAAGCTTTAATTCTGCCCAGGGACTGTGATGTAAAAAACATATTTGAAGAATTATCTTTTGATCTGTATAATGCTTTATACTTCTTACCTTTCCCAGGACACAAGATTCCTTTCTTTTGAGCTCTCCTCAGGAAAACCACCCTGAATAATTTAGTAACAGAATGGATTGAGAAGATGCAAAGGAAAAACACACAACACTCACATTTTACTTCATAATAATCTAAACTGATTTATGTACACACTGGAGTGCAGGTGTAAGAAAAGAGAGAGAAAAGTTCTTGTTCTAGTATTTTAGGTCAATTACTTCAAGTAATAAAAAAAATTGTATCCTAAGCTGACAAAGAAGGAATTCATTAAATATTCTCAAGGGCCAAATAACAAATATTATTTGATTAAAACATAATGTAGTCTTGGAACCTCTATATCAAGGAACAACGAAAGAACCTGTGATAGTTTCTAGGGAGATTTAAAATTAGATTAAGTCAAGATTCCACTCTAACTTATCCTTTATTTTCTCCAGGTGTACATTCGTTTTAAATATTCATACAATATATTCACTGTTCATTTACATCATCTTCATATAATGCAGGATTAAAGTGCTCTCTACACCAGCACGAATACAAAGTAACAGCCTCAAGCTCAAGTTAGGATTTGACTCTAATCTTTTCTGACAAAACGTTTCTATATTTTTACATAATCTTTTGTTCCACAACATTGACAGAATAACCACAATAATACATAATGATCATCCTTCTTAAAAACTGATTAGAAACACCTGAAAATAAGTATTCAAATACCGATTTCCAAGATATTCACAGGTCTTTACAACTCAAGAAACATGCCGTATAGCTCTTCACGGGGCCCTTGGAGGGTACCACGTTCTTTTTACAGTGCTGCTTTAAATACTTACCGACACTCTGGAACTGGCTCTTACTCGAGCGACAAACTCTTTCTCTCTCTCAGCAGCCTGTCTCTGCGCCTTCTGAAAGTTTGTCAGTGATGTGGTGAATTCCGCCACTAAGCGATCCTTCTGTATTTTCCTTTGACGCTAGAGGAAAGCCGGGGGGGAAAGAAACCTACCAGAATCAAGCTGTGAAGCTCTATAGAATTTGCAAAAGTTGTTTTGCCAGTAGCTGGCTCTTTATTTAATTCTGAAAATTTCACTCACTCTATTACAGGGCCTTACTGATTAACTCAATAACATTTTGAACAATTTGACAGTATGTTCAAATACTGTGCTTATTTTACCTTGAGGCAAAAGGCCCATAATGTTGGATTTCTCACCTCAAGTTCTCATCCTAAAAACTGGGCCATGATTTTATGTTAAAGTGTTTTTTTTAATGAAAATAAAACCTTTGACTCACCTAAGTAATAACTTCCACTAAGTAATAAGCAGGGTAATAAATACATGTGCCCCTAGGAAACCTCACATCTTGAATGAGCGTGCATGTTATATGAAGTCAGTCCTGGAAGGCCAGGAAACAATTACTCAGGAAGCATTTTCTGAGCACTTACTTAATTATGGGTCAGGGCAAGTGCATGGAAATAATTTTTGCTTTATTGAACCAAAGGATACTACCTGGGCAATTAAATATAGTTTTGTGTTCTGTGAACTAATCTCAAATTGATTTTTTCCCCCTAATTTCCTTTCTAGCACAACAGTTCAAAGATCCTACAATACATTTGATTTCTTTCACATTCAATACATCAACAGTGTGTCTTAAAGCTTCATACCTGGTCACTGGGTGTGGTGGGCAGAGATCCAAACTCTTTAATGTACTTATCTGTTTCTTTGGCAAGTTGGTTCGTATATTGCTGCTTCTGTTGCCTAAAACGAGAAAACACGCATTATAGCGATGGAACACATTTCTTTAAGCTACAACTCTGCCACTTGATTCAACCCTGATGAATAGTTTTAGAAAAATCACTTTTTTATAGACTGGCTCCAAATTTTCTCTATGAAAACAAAATTTTCAGGTTCTATTCTTTGATAAATATTGAACAAATACTATGTGGAAGGTTCTTTACTCACACATGGAGTAACCAAGCTCTGAGAAATAAATCAGCAGCCATTTAGAAAGGAAGATGACAAAAGCCAACAGGAGATTGTAAGGTGTATGATGTTTGAGATTTGGTGGCTGTGGGAGCCTTTGATGTGCATCCCACAATTGGGAGGTCAGTTGAATAAGTAAAGAAGATTTGTTGTCTTTAACTCTGCCCAGTTCCCAGGTCTCAGGGTACAGCCAGCCTCTCATATTTCTCTACCTGAATATTTATATACTATACTTAAAAAAAAAAAAAAAAAAAAAGCAGAGACGAGTAATAATACGAATTTACTATTATTTAAGTTTGCTGTGGAAAAAACAATAGCACTTCTCTGTAAAAAGAACAGAACAGAGTAAAAGAGGTAAATTATATAGCTATTTATATCTAGCTTGCTAGCTAGCTTATGAAGTAAAAACTAAGATCTCTAACTAAAGAAATTAACACTAAAAAAAAGCCTGTATTAATGTGATGCTTTACAAGTCACAACATCAGTACTTCTCATATATATTATCTCTCATTTTAAACATGTATTGGTCACACTTAGGATCCTTTAAAATAATGAGATACTATGTAAAAATGTTTTAGTATAGATATCTGTATTTGACTGATAAGGAAGAATTATACCCTACTTTTATATATTTACCAAGTGCCCTATCTTTAATATGCCTTTTAAAAATCTTTAGAAAAAGTAATATAATTAAAATTCTAAAAGAAGACTTTAATGATGTCTACATATTCAGAATCTCCACTATTAACCTTAGCAAAATATTATTAACTATTAAGAATTATGGTTTCTATTCCATTTTACTTTATTTTAATAAATGATGGTTTATTATTTAGATTTGGGGCATGTTTAGCTCCTTGATATCTATCCACTGCAGAAAAATGCAATACAAATTAGAAACAACTGCAAATTCCTCAAATTGTACTTCATAAAAATATGAATTACTATTACCTATCTCTTAATTTCTTCTTTGCAATTTTTCCTTCTGTAGCTAATGTTTGGCATATCACTTATTACATATATATTACTTGAAATTTGTAGCTGTTAACAGTGCTGAACTAAGATTTAAGATTCAGGTTCAGAATAATGTTGGGCAAATCATCAAACCCCAAACAGACATGTTTTCCTTATAAGCAAAATGGAAATAGTTCTTTTAATCTATCTAGCTCACTCCAATTTTGTAAGGTTCAGATGAGAAAATGCGTAAAAACACTCTGTAAAACCTGTAACCCATGAAGTATTATTGCTGTTTTTCTAATAGCATGTTAATTTATTCAAATATGTACTAGATAACTTCATTACAACTTTTTTTTTTTAAACAGAGGCTAATGCTTTCTGAAATTCAAATATGTAAATATAAACTTTTAGAGGCATAGTTCATATTGGATATGCATTGAATCTAAGTGAAATAAAAATCATCATATGGATTGTTAGCTATGGGAAGTGAATCACACAAGTAGAGAAGCTCAGAGTACCGTTTTTCAAAGCCACCAAAAACAAGCTATTAAAAGGTATAAAAAAGCTAACCAAAGAAGTTCTGCTTTGATAGAGTAAGCCAGATCTTTAAAATAAAGAAAAACATCTGCCCACTCTGGACAGGAAAAAACTTACACAAAAGCTTAGTACAAATGAGGCAGCAGAAAAACCTTATTAATTTTCCATTGTTTTCTCCAATAAACGTAACACTACACACTATCAAAGGAACATAACAATAGGTGGTTTTTCCCATTTCCTTTTTCTTGTTTAATTAATACTTACAGCTGCTGCCTCAATTCAGGTGAATCTTGAGGTGTTCCAAGTTGATTCAGAGTCCTCTGTATTTCTGCAGCTATTATGATAGAAAATAAATGTGTAATTGTTACAAATGTTAGGGCAATAGAAATTAATACAAACAATAGGACAGTTAGAAAAAGACAGAAAAACAAAGAGATAAATATAGGAAGTATTAGTTGACAAACAAAAAAGAAATGGTTTATTCAAATCTAATTAGTGACAATGGACTAATTTTCAAGATTAATTAAATTAATTAAAACTCAAGATTAGAGACAATGGATTTATTTTCAAGAGTATTGTGTGGGGACCTTACCATGTGAAACGGCAATTATGAGCCAAAAATATTATCGTCTTCCCTATTCCATCAGAACATTTAGTACAATGGCACATGGACTTTCACGTAACTCTACTGGCATAAAAATTGTAAGGAAAATAATTGTTACAATTACATAATTCACTGGGATATAAAGTGAATGAATTAGAGTTAATAAATGAAGGGGGAATAACAAAATTAGAAAAATTATTTTTCAACTATGTAATAAGTGATTCAAGCAAAGATCAAAGGATGCTAAAACCATGGGGATACTCACATGAACTCAAATTATCATCACACAGATGTCACTACTTTGAGCTAACTTTATCAAAGATAAATCTGTTGCTTATAAAACAAATGATCAAATTTAGGACCACCAATGGTACAAACTAGCATTATGACCCTCCTGACATAATGCAACAAGAAAGTCACAATATGACCTATGTATTTTTCTTGCCAAAATATTTAACCCAAATCTAATCATGAGAAAGAAATCAGACCAATTTAAATTATGGGATAATCTACAAAACAACTGGCCTGTACTTTTTAAAATGTCAATGTCAACAAAAGAAAAAAAGTATGAAAGCACGAAAGCTTTCTAAATTAAAGAACTAAAAAACACAAAATACTAAAACACCCAGTGTATGATTTTTGACTGGATTCTGAATCAGGAAAAAAAAAAAAAAGACAAACCCACAAAAACTATAAAAAAGTTGTGGAGACAACTGGAGAAACTTGAATTTGAATCTGGAGAGAGAGAGACTAAACAAAAGTTGAAAAATGTCAGCAACTGGTGAACCCAGGTAAAAGGTATATAAAAAATTCACTGTACTATACTTTTACTCTTCTGTAGGTTTTAAATATTTTATGCTAAGTTCACCACTCAGAAGTCTATGACCACTGTAATAAAAAAAAGGGGCTCTTTACAAAATGGGAGGTCCTAGTTTTACGCATTTATATACACAAATAAAATGTCAAGTAGAAACAAGTTGAAAATCCATCTCAAAGTAAGAAACTTTCACACTTCCAAGAACTAGAGAAAAATGATTCAACCCACCCATTCTTTTCATTTAAAATAATCATTTATTTATACAGCTTAAATGCTTTTAAATAGTCACTATTTATTGATATTTATGGGATCAAAGGAATGACTGTATTCCGAAACACAGGATAACTCTTTTTCACTGAGGATGATGTAATAAATATTGGTTTCAAGTCAAAGATGAAAAATATAAATACTGGAGAGGAATCATATAGCAACTGTTAACCATTCAGCTACTTACAAAGGAATTTCTTTTTGCAGTTCTTCTCGGTAACAGATTTTTCTTTTGTGAGGTGGAGGAATTTTGTTTGCTGTTTTATAACATATGGCAGCTTCCAATTAGTTACATATTTCCTTCTTAACCTCAACAGATTTTCTTGGGCTACCTTATAGGGGTTTAAAGCTTTTATTTTCAAAAAAAGTATGTTGATAAGACAAACTGATGCAGGCATTTATCACATATCTAGAGGGCTCTTGTCTTTTAAAAAAGGTCACAATAAGTGAAAAAAAAAAAATAGATTGCTCAATAAATGACACCAGGAAAACTGACTAACCACTTGGGGGTTACAACAGAGAACTCTAGCTTACCTCATGAAGTAAAATAAATCTGTAATAAATTATTAATATAAGAAACTATTAAACTGCTACATAAAACTATAAAAATGTATTTATTACACAATCTTATTTATGATCTTGGCATGAGGTATAAAATATTATCCAAGTATGATATAAAGCTAAAAACCATGAAGGAAAATATATCAAACTGGCAAAACATACACAAAATTTTAAAATACTATATGAAAAATATGTATCTACATTACAAATATATAAAAGTAACGTGTGTGTGTGTGTGTGTGTGTGTGTGTGTACACAGGAGAAAATACCTGCAGCATATAATGAGTAAAGGGGTTAATATCCCTAATATAGAAAAGAATCCTATAAACTGGAAATATAAAAATAGCTCAATGAAAAATGGGTAAAAGGTATCATCTTAAAATTATAACAAGCAAAAAAAATATGAGAAATTAAACTTCACTGATAATCAACACATATAAGATTGGTAAAAATCAAGAAAGATAAGCAGATGATAATATAATTACAATCAAAAGCCTTGAAAAAGGTAAAGACACAGGAAGGAGCAATGTCCATCATGTAGAAAGAATCAGAAATAACTGAGAAAAGGTCAGACAAGCCAGTACAAAAATCGGCCAGGAACAGGAACTTTAAAAATTGATAATATTCACTGAAAACATGAATAGCAAAAGAAAGATGGAAAAGAATATCAATCCTGGAAAGGATAAATAACTTTAATGTATGAACGCTATATAAAACTGTTCCGCCCTTAAAAAATTTAAGTAGACATGCTTCTGATAGGCCCAGTGGGAAGGAGCCTAAATCTACCAAGTGGTTATTTCCCTAGTTTTTGTAAACAGATACACTCAGCAACCCGTTTTCACCCTTTCTCCCTGAGTAAGGGCTTATATGCAAAGGAAGAGATAACCGGGAGCACCTGAGGGCGCAATACTCCAACAAAACAGAAAACCAGGAGCAACACCTACTCTTGTGTGCTGCTCAGAAAGGCCTCCGAAGACCTGACAAGCTGAGCAGGGTGAAGCCTCCCCTATTCCCATATTCCCATTTAACTGGCCTGTCTGGAGGATGCAGAAGGCAAAGAGCTATGATGGCTAGCAGAAGCTTATTCAAATGGTGACTCCAACTGCAGTGCTCCTCAAAATGTGATCTATTTACTAGAACAGATCGTCACAATCTCTGGAACCTTGTATAAACCTGCTGATACTTGTATAAACCTGCTGATATGGTAAATACTTTTTGCTCTACCCTAAAAAATAGAAAACGTGAGAGGGAGTTTGTTTTCAACTGGATGGGATGGCGTAGAGCCTTCACAGTCTTATCTTAGGGTTATATATACTCTTTATCTCTGTACTACAAGTTAGTTGTCAAGGTTGTTGATCCTCTCCTCCAATGGGACACTACACTAGTCCAACACACTGCTTACATGTGCTTTTAGGGTCTGAAAGGCAAGAAGCAACATGCACTCTTAGATGTCTTGGAAGGATGGAAGTATGCCAGCAGATAGAAGATAAATTCCATGAAAATACAGGACCCTGTTTCTTTGGTGAAGAATCTTGGTCCATTAATCCGTATGGATCACTGACATACTCCTGCAAAGTAAATGACAAATTGCTTTTCTTTGCAGTCTCAAATACAAATAGGGAAACAGTGCTTACTTAGTGAGACTTTTTATGTGGCTCCAACCCATTTTACTGAATGCCCCCAAACGTTGCCAGCTCTGGCTTCAGCTCCGCAAAAGAAAAGGCTATCCAGCTAGTTCAAGTGTTGGTACAAGCAGCTCTACAACTTGGTTTTAATGACCCGGTTGAGCCAATGGTAACTCAAGCGCCTGTGCAATTTCAGAGTTCTGTATAACACTAGTGGCAAGTCCCACTAGGAAGAAAAAAACCCACAGGAGTCTCTTAGAATCTTGGAGCAAAATCATGCTCTCTTTGGCAAACCAATGTTATCTTTTGAGGAACAGTTCTAGTTTTGCTACTAAGCCCTGGATAAAAAGTAAACAGTGGTATACTAGGTGACCCAGTGACCTGAGCTGCCTGCTATGTATTATTAGGTGTTATGTTATCTTGTTAGTTTATCTCTTTCTAGATTTTGTTCTATGCATGTTAACCAGCCTGCCCCTCACCCCAACTTCTACAGCACTTGTTCACTGGACTAATAAACCAGCAATGGTTTAAGAATAAAAACCACTTGTAGGCTCACCAACTGGACTTCCCCTTTCTCAGATTAACATGATTACTGGAAATGCCATGTACCAATTTGCAGCAATAGCATCAAAAGTAAATAAGTGATGTGGCGCCATCTATGGGGCTATGAGCCAGTCACCCAGTGGCAAGATGATGATACTCCTTCCTTCGTGGTGGAGGTGGAATTTTATACTCACTGAAACAGTACTGTGGATTTTGTTATGCTTCTTCTACTGCCCTCCCCCCCATGATTCTACCAGCTTCCTAATCCATATATTAGTCACAATCATGGTATTCTACACACCAGTGCTTTTGACCAAGATATTCAATTTACAGAGAAAAAAAAATTAACAGAACTTCCAAGGACAATGGGATTCCTTGGTCTCCCAGTACTCCATTATCTGGAAGCTGCTGGACTTCTAGAATTTTTAATGGCCTTTTGAAGACCCAATTACAGTGTCATCTGAGAGACAGTATCTTGGGAAGGTGAACTGCAGCCCCATGGGATCTTTACGCTCTCAAAGAACCACCACTCCTTGGTGCTGCTTCACCCACAGCCAGAAAGAACACTCAGATTTAGGAACTAAGGGGCAAAAGTGAAGAGAAATAGTTCACATTTACACCTAATTACTCACTTGCAAATTTTCTTCCATCCCTTGAGGTGATTTACAGACAATATCCAAATAAGGAATATAATCATACCTCTATCTGGTAGAAGCAGAGGAAGAATGGACTGGAAATCACCCACTAGACCTGGCACTGGATGCAGGAAATAAACAGGCCTTGGTCCTACCCATCTGTAGAGATGGGAGAGGAGTTCAGGTTGTACGAGTGGAAGCGGTGCCATGTTAGACAGGGGCTTTTTAATTTTTTCAAGCTTAAGTATGCAAAAAGGGAAATATGTTCATTATCGGAAACAA